GGAGGTCACCAGGGCTCCGCAGTCAGCACTGTCATGGGCGTGGGGCTCTCTGTTTCCTGCTCTCTGCTTCCTCTGGCCCACCACTACAGCTGTTTCCCTTGTATATCTTCTTTGGAGAAATGTCGGTGTAGCTCCTTTCCCCATGTTTAAATTGGCTTACTTGTCTTTTTTTAAAAATTGAATTTAGCCAAAACCGGTTTGGCTCAATGGATAGAGCGTTGGCCTGCGGACTGAAAGGTCCCGGGTTCGATTCCGGTCAAGGGCATGTACCTTGGTTGCGGGCACATCCCCAGTAGGGGGTGTGCAAGAGGCAGCTGATCGATGATTCTCTCTCATCGATGTTTCTAACTCTCTAACCCTCTCTCTTCCTCTCTGTAAAAAATCAATAAAATATATTTTTTAAAAATTGAATTGATATTGGTTGATAAGCTTACTTATCTTTTTATTGATGAGCCATAGAGCTCTTTACATATTCTGGCTATAAGTCCCTTGTCAGATACATGTTTGCAAATATTTTGCTCCCTTTCTGTTGGGTTGTTTCTTCACTTTCTTGATGGTATTGTTTGGAGCACAATTTAAAATATATGTATATTTTATTGATTTTTTTTACAGTGAGAGTGCTAGAGAGTTAGAAACATCGATGAGGAGGAGAATCCAAGATGGCTGCACAGGTAAACACCTAGCTGCAGCCGCACACAACAATTTCAATAAAATACAACTAAAATATAAAATGGACATTACCCAGAACTACAGGAAATTCGACTGACTGGAAATTCTACAGCGAGAAGCAAGGAGAAAACCAGAAGGAAGAGTGGAGGAGCTGTAAAAGCCTAAGGTACGGAGACGCGCAGCACACGAGGAGAGGACGGAGCCGGAGAGGAGGGGAGGCTGAGTGCCTGGCTGGCGTTCCCTAGCAGGAAGGAGATAAAAGCTCTGACTGTGCTGGGCCCCAGTTCCGACTGCTCTGAACCCCAATTCTAGGCCATTCCCTGGGGACCAAGGTTCATCCAGAGGGAGCTGGGCTGTAAAGCGGAACCCCAGGGGAGCAGCGAAAGGAGGTCCTAGAGGCACGCACATTGCGCGCATAGAAGGGACAGTTGGCTGTGCTGCGGGATTGCCCTGGTGGGAAGGAGACAGGGGCTCCAGACTGCTCTGAACACCACTTCCAACTCCACTTCCAACTGAACTGAACCCCAATACCAGGCTCATTGGGGGAGAGCCTAGACTGTTTGGTAGCAGGCGAAAATCGAGGGCACCTTTCTCTCAGAGGTGCTTGCAACGAGTACTGAAGGACCCTGAGATTCAGGAGCCACATAGGGCGGGCCTGACAGAAGCCAAAGCTGTAGGCTCTACCCTGAAACTCTGCCCCATCAGGGAAACTGCGAAAATGCCGAGACGAAATAGATCACAAACAAAAGAAATGGAGGACAAAAAGCGACTGGATATAGAGTTCAAATCCACGCTTATAAGGTTTTTCAAGAATTTCCTAGAAAAGATCGATAAGACCTATGAGGATATGAAAAAGGATCAACTAGAATTAATAAGGAATCAACAAGAAATGACAAGGGATCAACAAGAAATAAAGAATACATTGTCTGAAATAAAAAATATTATTCAGAGTCCTAAAAACAGAATGGAAGATTGCAAGAATCAAGCCAAAGATTTGGAACATAAAGAGCCAGAAGACACTCCTCCACAGAAGATAGAAGGCAAGAGAATCCAGAAAATTGAAGATAATGTAAGAAACCTCTGGGACAACTTCAAGTGAACCAACATCAGAATTATGGGGTCCCAGAAGATGAGAGAGAGCATGATACTGAAAACATACTGAAAGAAATAGTGACAGAAAACTTCCCCCACCTGGTGAAATTAGACTTACAAGTCCAGGAAGCGCACAGAACTCCAAACAAAAGGAATCCAAAGAGGTCCACACCAAGACAAATCATAATTAAAATGCCAAGAGCAAAACACAAAGAGAGAATATTAAAAGCAGCAAGAGCAAAGCATGTAGTTACCTATAAAGGAGCACCTATACGATTGTCAGCTGATTTTTCAACAGAAACCATGCAGGCCAGATGGGAATGGTAAGAAATATTCAAGATGATGAATAGTAAGATCCTACAGCCAAAGATAATCTACCCAGCAAAGCTATCACTCAGAATCGAAGGCCAGATAAAGAGCTTCACTAATAAAAAAAAAAAGCTAAAGGAGTTCATCATCACCAAACCAGAATTATATGAATTGCTGAAGGGGGTTCTTTCAGAAGAGAAAGTAAATAAAAATAAAAATTATGAACAACAAATACGTAACTATCAACAAGTGAATCTAAACACCAAGGAAATTTTTAAAAAATCTGATGAACAATATTAACTGTTGAATATAATAGAATCAGAGGTATGGAAGGGGAGTGAACTGACGATTCTTGGGGAAAGGGGGAGAGTGGGATGTGCGAAGAGACTGAACATAAACTGTGCACCTATGCATGAGGACAATGGGGGGTGGGGAAAAGGCAGATGGTGGGATGGAAACCTGGTGGAGGAGAGCAATGGAGGGTGGGGAGGGAACATTTGTAATAATATGAACAATAAAAATTTATTTTAAAAAATAATAAAATGAAGTGCCAAAAAAAAAAAAAAAAAAGAAACATCGATGAGAGAGAAACATCGGTCAGCTGCCTCCTGCACACCCCCCACTGGGGATGTGCCCGCAACCAAGGTACATGCCCTTGATTGGAATCGAACCAGGCACCTTTCAGTCTGCAGGCGGATGCTCTATCCACCGAGCCAAACAGCTTTTGGCCAATTTTATTCTTTAGCATGTGGATATCCAGTTGCCTCAGCACCATTTGTTAAAAAGACTAGAGAGATATTTAAAAAACATAGATTGGATCACAGCTCTTCTTTGATAAATCTTTCAGTGATTTTCTAATATAAAATATAAATTTCTCTGCCTATCATTTCACTCTCATTTCACATCACTCTCTCTCTCTCTTGTTCACCGTACTCCAGGCTCCCAGATCTCTCATTTCTCAGAATAAGTGAAGGTTGCCTTTTCCTTAGCTTCCTCATCTTTCTTCATCTCTAACTTTGATGTTGTCTCCTCATGGATGACTTTCCTCCACTACTCTTGTAAAGTAGGTTCTCCATCTCATCCCATTTATTTTCTTATATGATCCCCTCTTATTTTTTTTATTTTTAAATTTTTTTATTGATTTCAGAGAGGAATAAAGAGATTGAGAGAAACATCAATGATGAGAGAGAATCATTGAGCAGCATGCCCCCTACTGGGGATGGAGCCTACAACCTGGGCATGTCCTCTTGATTGGAATTGAATCCTAGACCCTTTAGTCTGCAAGCCAATGCTCTATCCACTGAGCCAAACCGGCTAGGGCTATATGATCCCCTTTTACTTTCTTCATAGTCTTAACTTGTATTTATTTTGCTGCTTTGTTTTTTTCACTTTGAGTAATCCTTCTTTGCATCTACCAAACTGGTTTGCATATGGTATACATTCACTTCACAAGTCAAGTTGTTAGAAAGCAGAATTTACAATTAGAAGGTATTTTAGAAATCACCTAGTCAACCACTGTTACTTTACAGAAGCAAAAACCAGTATCTACAGAGGGTGAAAGATACGCTTGGGGTCAGGGAGCACACCTAACTTTCATTCTGAGACCTATAATATTCTCCCAACAGTTCCTTTTTTTTAAATTTATTTATGCCTTTTTTAATCTTTCTTTTATTCATTCATTTATTTATTTATTTATTTATTTATTTATTTTAAAATTTATTTTATTAAGGTATCACATATTTGTCATCATCCACCCTCACTTATGCCTTATTTCAGTGTCATGCATTTGTTGCAGAATTACTAAAATGAGGGTTGGGTGTTTTTGTGTTGTTTTTTTAAATAATTTCTTATAGAAATGAGATTTCTCTAAGCTTCTTTCCTATCATAAAATGCCTGCAATGTGCCTTGAATGGAAGGATAGACCGGGTTAGGAGCGCCAGCAGCCACATCCCACACTCAAGGAACTATCTCCAGCCGCTCCTGTATCCCTCTCCCGGGCCGTCCCGCCCCGCCTCCCTCCTCTCGCGGTTCCCCCTGAGCCACTCCGGTCCCGTCCCTGATGCCCCGCCCCTTGATGCCCCGCCCCCTCCCGGGCCCTGCCCTTCTCCAAGATGGCGCCAGGGGCTTCTCCTCTGGGGGAAGTGAGCTCACACTGTTCCGGAAGGGAAGGCGGGGAGCAAGCAGGCTGGTGGATGACCCCCGCGGGGTTGTGGGTGGGGCGCGGTCCTGGCTGTGGTGTTCCCTTTGGGGGCTGGAGAGAGGGCGTGGGACTTTCTTGCCTCTCGAACCCGGTCGAGGGCCCTGCCCCGGGCCGGCGGGAGGAAGTCACCGCCCCCCCGAGCGGCTCGCCCCTGGCGAAAGGAGAGGCGGCGCTGGGAGCCGGCGTCCCGCCCCCGGCGGCCTCCTTCCCCGACCCTCCTCCCGGGCTGCGCGGGCGGGCGGCGCCAGCTCGGGCTCGAGGGCTGCGGCGGGAACCGCCTCGCCGGCCGGCCCGGTCCCTCCCCCCGAGGACCTGCTGGAGCGGAGGGCGCGCGGCCGGTCGGTCCGTCCGTCCGTCAGCCCCGAGGTCAGGCCGCCGGGCCAGCCCGCGGCCCCCCGGCCTTCGCCCAGCCCCCTTGGCACGAGCCCCCGACTTCCCCGCGCTGCTTCTGCCTCGAGGATGCCACCCGGTCCCCGGGCCCGGTGACTTTTTTCTTCGTCGCTTTGCCGGGAGGGAGGCACACGTTTAAAGGGTCGCTGCCCTCGCTCCCCTCCGGAAAGTTTCCCTCCAGGGGAATGCCTGTCTTCCTCCTCCGGACCATTGGGTGGTGCCCACTCCGGCCACCTTCGGCTGATTGATTCGGCTCGCGGGATCACCTTCGATCCGATCTTTAAAAAGTCAGCCCCCGCAACACGACCGAGGAGGAGGGCGCGTGGACTTGGGAGCGAAGATGCAGGGGGTGGAACCCGTGTCCACCATGAAAGCCTCGGAGAGCGAGGCAAAGCTGGAGGGCCTGGCCGCGGCGCTGACCCCCAACAAGAACAGCAGCAACAGCGGCGGCGGCGGCGGCATCAGCAGCAGCAGCAGCGGCGGCAGCAGCGGCAGCAGCAGCGGCGGCCGCGGAGGCTGTGCCAAAAGCTGGCAGTACAGGTAGGGCCTTTCTCCAAGGTGATCTCCACTCACCTGGGGCGGAGGGGTGTGTGCGTGTGTGCGTGTGTGTGTGTTGGAATCTGCGTCCCTGCCGCTGTTGAAAGGTAAAGTTTCCCCCCCACTGACTTCCAGAAGCAACTCTTTTCCTTTGGGCCTGGGAATCATGAGCGTGATTTAATTCATTCACTTGTCCGCTCCACAGGTATTTATGGAGGCCTGTTGGAGAATACCTGAAGGTATCCTTGAACTTCCTCTGGCGAAACCCTAGAGTTGCTCTTTCCTCTGATTTAAGTCTGTGCCCGCTTCTGTTTCTGGCCGTGTTGCAATTTGTTTACAAGCCTGCCTTCTCTGCTTGACTGGGAGGGCAGGGTCAGCTTCCCTTGGCTCTCTCCAGAAGCTAGCTGGCAAACACTGGGTGCTCAAAAGCTATTTGTTGAGTGATTGGATGAAATGATTGAATCTTGAAAGATTCTTGCCCCCCGGGTGTTTATGACTTAAAAGGGGAGAGCTACATACATGGTTTGAATACAAAGGCAGACGTATGGGTGCTAGTGCCTCTGATACTCTAAACCGGTTATCCTAGAGTTAGTCATTTTGAGTTGACCAGGGCACTTACTAAGCGCTCTGTCTTGATGAGAAATTCTACATTCGTTAATTTTCCTTAAAATGAATGAAAACACTTAAGGAACAGGAAGAGAGTCCTGGACAAGCAACTGTTTTTTGTTGTTGTTGTTTTTTGTTTTGTTTTTTTGATCTGTAAAGTATAGAGGAATATACCCTTCCAGAATCTTAAGAATGAATGAAATTAGGATATCCCATGGTATTGGAACTAAAGGGATGAATTCTTTAGGAAAAGGAAAAATTTGCCTGACTCTAGGCCTTTTTCGCTCGTGGGATGCTTGTAGTTGTGAAACTTTAGATTAAAGCCAAGATTTTGTGAAGGATATACATACCGTGTTTCCCCGAAAATAAGACCTAGCACATGGAAAATAAGACCTAGCACATAAGACATCCCCTGAAAATAAGAACTAGCGCAATTTTGGGAGAAAAAATTAATATAAGACACTGTCTTATTTTCGGGGAAACAGGGTTATATGTATATGAATAATCTTCTATATACATAAAAGCCTAAGCGACTATTGGACTAGTAGCTATGATGCGCACTGATCACCAGGAGGCAGACGCTGTGACTGGTAGGTTAGCTTGTTGCTGGGGTCCAGCCGATCAGGACTGAGCATTACAGCCTGGACATGCCCTGGAGCCCTCCGGTGGTCCCTCCCTGGCCCTGTTCGTGCACCTGTGCTGTCCCTCAGCCTGGCCTGTGCCCTCTCAGAATCGGGACTCCTCTGGGATGTCCGCAGGCCCGGCTGAGGGACTCCACCGGTGCACGAATCCATGCATGGGCCTCTAGTACCCATATATTTGAATATTAACATACAGAAAAAAAGTGTAGATTTTATTGATAAGTGACTGTATGACAAAAATATATATAGTTACTGTGAGGTGTCTAGGCCCATTTTTAAATCAACATGATGTATTTTTGTATGTGTCTTAAGACTAAGCATATAAAATTAATTACTTGGCAGGGATATTTTTATGACTTAAGAAAGCAAGAACCATGGCCAGTGTGGCTCAGCTGATGGGAGCATTGTCCTGTACACCAAATGGCAGGTTCAGTTTCCATCCGGGCACATACCTAGGTTTCCAGTTTGATCCCCTCCCTCCCTATTTCCCTCCCTCCCTCCCTTCCTCCCTCTCTCCCTCCCTCCCTATCTCCTTCTCTCCCTCCCTTTCTCCCTCCCTCCCTCCCTTCCTCCCTCTCTCCCTCCCTCCCTATCTCCTTCTCTCCCTCCCTTTCTCCCTCTCTCCCTCCCTCCCTCCCTATCTTCTTTCCTTCCTCCCTCTCTCCCTCCCTCCCTATCTCCTTTCCTCCCTCCCTCTCTTCATCCCTCCCTCTCTCCGTCCCTCCCTTTCTTTTTCTTTCTTTTTAAATTTATTATTATTATATTTTAAAAATATATATTTTATTGATTTTTGTACAGAGAGGAAGGGAGAGAGATAGTTAGAAACATCAATGAGAGAGTGTCATCCATCAGCTGCCTCCTGCACACCCCCTACTGGGGATATGCCCGCAACCAAGGTACATGCCCTTGACCAGAATCGAACCCAGGGCCCTTCAGTCCCCAAGCCGACGCTCTATCCATTGAGCCAAACCAGTCCCGGCTATTATTATTATTTTTTAAATATTGCAACTGCGTTTATTTAAAAAGTGTAGAGCCCTGGCCGGCCTCCCCCTCTCTCTTTCCCTCCTTCTGCCTCTCCTTCTCTTAGTCCCTTCCTTTTCCCTCTCATCCCTCTCTAAAAATCAATAAAAAAACCACAGCAACATTTCCTCAGGTGAGGATATAAGGGGAAAAAAAAAAAAAAGGCAAGAAAGAAAGCAAAGTAAGGTAATATTCCATGTAGCTGGAGGTCAATTTTCTGACATCCTCAAATCTTTTTTTGAAATCCAGTCGCAATTGAATGGAAAAGTTAAACAAGTTTCTTAGAAGCACTGTGGAGCATTCTCATAAAGCCATGCTGTACTTTCATTCAAAACCCTATTATCCCTTATTTAGGGTATTATTTAATAGTTATATAAAATTAGAATCCATTGGAATCACAAATGGAAAAGGTTATCATGGGAAATGTAACAGAGGAAATGGCAATTGACAATGTAGGACAGTCAAAGAAGATTTGAAAAATTAACATGCAGGCTCAGCTATTTTACTTCCTAGTATAATACAATAATCATGGTCACAATGACCTTAAGTCATCCAGGAAAGCACACCCTGTTAAAGAAGGTAGAGAATCGAACTTGGGACCTTTCAGTCCCCAGACTGACGCTCTATCCACTGATACAGTGGTGAACAGTTTCAAAGCAAATAGCAATCAGACCCAGGACCCTTCAGTGTGTTGGCCAACGCTCTATCCACTGAGCAAAAGCAGCTAGGGCTCTTTTCACTTTTTAAAAAAATTTAAATTCTTTATTTAAAATATTACATATGTCTCCTTCCTCCCTCCCCCCCCCCATTGGCCATTCCCACCCCCCAGCACATGCCCTCGCCCCTTACTGTCTGTGTTCCTGGGTTATGCTTCTATGCATGCATACAAATCCTTTGGTTGATCTCTTATCCCCCTTCTCTCTGTGGTTGGACCGTCTGTCTGATGCTTCTGTATCTCTGGATCTAATTTTGTTCCTCAGTTTATGTTGTTAAATGAGTGAGATCATGTGATATTTATCTTTCTCTGACTGGCTTATTTCACTTAGCGTAATGCTCTCCAGGTTCTTCTTTTTTTTTTAAATCAATAATCACTTTATTCTTATTTTTTTAACTTATTTTAAAATCTTTATTGTTAAAGGTATTACATATGTTCCCTTTTTCCCTCATTGACCTCTCCCACTCTGCCCTTGCCACTTTCTTGATGTTATTGTCTGAAGCACAAAAGCTTTTAATTTTTATGAAGCCCAATCCAGTTTTTCTGAGTCATATCTCAGAAATCATTGCCAAGTCCAGGATCACAAAGATTTATGCAAATGTTTTAAGAGTTATATATTTTAGCACTTACTTTAGATCTCTGATCCATTTTGAGTTAATTTTTCTTTCTTTTTAAAATAGATACCTTTTTTCATATATAAAAAAATAGATACCTTTTTAGTGATTTTTTTGAAGAGAGGAAGGAAGAGGGAGAGAGAGATAAAAACATGAATTGGCTGCCTCTTGCACACCCCCTCTGGGGGCTCAAGTCCAAACCCTGGCATGTGCCCTGATTGGGACTCAAACTAGCAACCTTTTGGAGCATGAGACGATGCTCAGTGCACTGAGCCTTATGGGCAGGGCTTGGGTTAATTTTTCTTTATGATTAATTTTATTTTTCCTTTTGTGAAATATCTGCCATTTTTTATTTTTCTTGTTAATATACCTGATGTTATTTTTCAAATTTACATATTAATATTTTAATGTCAATATTTCCTTAAAAATATTCTGTTGTTTTGTTTTTTTTCCCCAGAAAAGGTAAAAGAGTGAAGTGTTTATCTTACAAACTTGTCTTAGCCACTGAGTTTCCTTCCCTGGAAACATTGTTTTTTATTGATTTCTTTATTATAGTTCCAGAAAGTATATATTAAACCTTTATATAATAACTATATAAATGCATAGAATATATTTTAATTTTGTATGGTTAACTTCTTTGCTAAATTTGCTGCGAAGATTTTATCTAGTTTTTGTATTTTGATTTATTACATATTTTCAGGCACAGAGAAAACTTAAAGGTCAGAACTCTTACTCTTTATTCCTTTTACTTCTACTATAGAATGTTATTTTTAGAAATACTTATTTTCATGTAGTTTTAAAATGATTTGGTCATTTTACATTTAATTTTTAATTTATCTGGAATTTATTTTAAAACATGAGGTAGTGTGTAATCTATTACTGTGCTATGATGTACTCCCAAATTTAGAGTATTGAAAAAGCACCATTTTAAAAAAATATATATTTTATTGATTTTTACAGAGAGGAAGGGAGAGAGAGAGCTAGAAACATCGATGAGAGAGAGTCATCGATCAGGTGCCTCCTGCACACCCCCCCACTGGGGATATGCCCGCAACCAAGGTACATGCCCCCGACCGGAATCGAACCTGGGACCCTTCAGTCCCCAAGCCGACGCTCTATCCACTGAGCCAAACTGGTCCCGACTGAAAAAGCACCATTTAAAAAATATATATTTTTATTAATTTTAGAGAGAAAGGGAGAAGGAAAGAGAGAGAGAAATATTAATGATGGAAGAGAATCATTGATTGGCTGCCTCCTGCAGCCAGCAACCCAGGCATGTGCACTTGACTGGAATTGAACCTGGGACCTTTCAGTCTGCAGGTCACTATTCACTGAGCCAAACTGGCTAGGGGGGGAAAAAATGCACCTTTTTTTTTTTTTTTTTTTTTTTTTTTTTTTTTTTTTTTT